AGGAAGCTCTACACTGCTGTGCGCAAGCTCAAATGACTTAGCTGAATGTACATCAATTTTTGATAAAAGCAAATTGAGAAGAATAAAATTCCACTCGACAGTGGGAAACCTCAAAATTTTCAATGCCGCCAAGTTTTCTTGAAATGTGTCAATTAAACAAAACTAAATGATCGTCTGATGACATTTTAGGAGCGTTGTGTATGTTGTTCCAAAATTCAGTGGCCATTAACCTTTTGTTCTGGTATCTATCACGCAATGCCTGATAAGCAACGGGGTAGTTGCTCTCAGTCATGCGCAACGTTTTTAATAAATTGAGGGGTTCACCTTCGCAATGTTTGACCAAAAAACCGAATTTTTGAATTGCCGGCATGTTCGCGTCATTATGAATTAAACTATCATATAAGTCAATGAATGTCGGCCAATCTCGGTAATCGCCCCTGAAAATTGATACATCAACCTCATATACTTTTTGGTTAGTGGTAGCATTAAAAATTGTTTGGTTTGATGGGACAACAGGACTTTGAGAAGTCGAAAAATAATAAAATGAAAACTGAACAGTGCCAAATGATTCCTTTTTTTTCTAACCCTACTGATAAAATTTATCAATATGTTACCAACTTTTTTGTTGATTTTTTTTATTTCCAACAAGTCAAAATAATCATTTCTTTCCTAGAGCAGACACCAGCAGATCTCTAATCTTCAGTGGTAGTGAAAACAACATTCCAAGTTATAGAGAAGCCTGGCACAGAATAATCAGCGGTTATCAGTTTTTAAAAAGAACTTAAGGCAGAGTAACCTATTTTCAACAAGTAAAGTGCTTCTGATTTAAATTTTGTTTCGAATTTACAGTTAATGAAATTTTTGCTTTAGTTATTTTACTAATAATTAACCATAGTTTAATGTATTATAAATGAACATTTTATTGCTTACATCTTCTTTTTTGCAATTTTTAGAGGTGGTGATCCTCTCAAATCAAATAATATAAAAGTTCCTTGAAAATAGTAACACTGAAGCATCTTATGTCGGACGCCATTGTACAAATAAAAAATAATTATTATGCTATTAAAAAATGCAGCATTTATCTTTATTTAACTTCTTATTGTGTTTATAAGCAAAAATATCTTCCGTGAACTTCAAAACGAGTTAATAAAACACAATATCAATTGTTATTATAATTAAAGGTAAGTCGTAGTTGTGGCATAAGCCACAATCTTGTCTACAAAACAGGACTGGAATGTGCATCTGGAAAAAACTATTTCTTAATAAGAAATTTTTTTAACAACACTTTCTACACCTTTTTTTTTGCCTGAAAATTTATGGGATTTTGACATATTTTGAAAAAATACTGTTGTTGGAAGCCGCAAGGCCTTGGTATTGGTATTGGTATTAAAGGGGGGGCGCCCTCGCGGGCGTCCAAGCTCTTAGGCCACCAGATGGGCCCGTTGTGCCCCCAGGCCGCTCTAGAGGGCGTCCAGAATGCCGCCCCTCCTGTAGAAGGTCAGCAACTCCTTCAGCCCAATACCGTGCACTAAGTCCGGATCGATCAGGGCCGTTCCGAAGACTCCCAATCTTGCCCATGTCAAGGCAGGGCACTCGGTGAGCAGATGATACGGGGTCTCCTCCCCTTCCATGCACCACCTACACTCCGGGTCGTCTCCAATGCCTAGCAAGCAGAGATGCCTCCTAAGCCTGCAATGTCCTGTGTAGGCCCCTGTTAGTGCTCTACACTCCCTCCTGGTCAGTCTAAGCAGCTCCCTGGTGCGAGGAAGGGCGGGCCCATCCATCATAAGCCTCGCCTGCCTCATTCCCGGAGCAACTCTCCAGCCCCCCGCGGCCCGGTCTCTCGCCCAGGCTTCGAGAGCTCCCCGCCTCACACACGGGGCGATCCCCAAGCGGGGCTCTGGCCCTATATGCCTATGCGAGGAGCCCTCCCTGGCTAAGGCGTCCGCTGCCTCATTGCCCCGGACACCGGTGTGACCCGGGACCCAGACCAACGTGACCTTTCTCTCCTCAGCCACCCTCCTCAGTACCCCTTTGCACTCCTTTATCAACAAGGAGCGCGTACGCACTGACTCCAGCGCCATGAGTGCAGCCCTACTATCCGAGCAGAAGAAGACTCTCCTGCTTCCGTAGTTGAGCCGAAGCACCTCTCTGGCCGCCATCAATAAAGCGAAAATTTCCGCCTGAAACACAGTGCAGTACTGACCCAGAGGGACCGACAAGCTTGATCCCGTTGTCTCGCAGTACGCTCCAGCTCCGGCCAGATCTCCCATTCTGGACCCGTCCGTGTACCAGACAAGTCCATCCCAGGAGCCGACTCTGCCCTCTCTCCAATCTTCCCTTGATGGAAAGAGAAAGGTCAATTTATCAAAGAAGGTCATCTCGGGGATCATGAAGTCACTCGGCATGCCCATGACCCCGCGATCCCCGCGACAGCCCTCTAAAATGTCGTACGGACCCCGATTGAGGGTTCCCTCCCTCCAGAGCCCGCAGCTCGCCAGCCTCACAGCTGTCCTGGCCGCCTCCATCTGCACCCGATCCGCCAGAGAGGGCAGCCCCACCAGAGCCTCCAGGGCCCTCGTGGGCGCCGTTCTCATGGCGCCCGTTATGCAGAGGCAAGCCAATCTCTGCAGTCTGTCAAGAACTAGCCTTGCTCCCGCTCTTCTGGTCCCCGGCCACCATGCCACTGCCCCATGCGTGAGCATAGGCACCACCATGGTACCGTAGATCCACTGCATGATCTTCGGCCCCAGGCCCCAAGTGCCGCAAGGCCTTATGAGTCGAACGTCAGAATTTGCAGTTAGAGCTGCCATTGGTTAAAAACAAAATTTCAAATCTCGTGCATGCGCATATCTAACAGACCTCGAAATTTTGTAAAAGGCAGGGCCTCTATATGTCTAATAGCTATATGGGTCCTACTATTGGTAAAAATTGATGCGCCTATGTTATAACCTGCACTTTGCGCTATTTTATTTGTAAACAGCGATCTCCACACACTAACTCCTTTTAACCTGAGTATTCCAAATTTATTGACGATCATTGGTTAAAAACTAGATTTTATATTTCTCGCATCTGCATGTTGAATGAACCTTATCAAATAAAAAAAATATAGTTGCTTCATAGGTTCCTGTTTTATCAGCATTTGGCAGCAATTGTCACCCGTCGTTTGAGTATTAATAATAATTAACCCCAGTCAATTTCATTACGAGGAAAATACAATAATGGTACATGGAGAAACTGATATGATTCAAAAGTACGAGAAATTATTATTGACCGGTACCATAAAGGGAAAACAATGCGTGAGATTTCCAGTGAATTGACTGTGGCAACAACTATGTTTTATTTAATTAAGAAATGTGATGAAACTGCCGGTATTGATGTTTACGGTAAAAGCTCAGGCTCCGTCCAAAAGCTGTTTCTGAAAAGAGTGTAAGGCGTTTAATTAGAATATGTAAGGAGAAAAAATACACTACGAGAAATAACCTCAAGGTGGAATAGAGAAAATGGAATGAATATTTCCATGTTTGCAGTATACATTTTTTATTTTTGGGCATGATGGGGATGTATGTCGGCCAAGGGCTGGAAACTTTACGCTCTATTCACGGCACAGTAAGCGCAGCCACATGTTAAGATGTCGTTGAACATTCGCTTTAACCAAATTCAGTAAAGCTATATCCACCCGGAGATTTTATCTTTCAGCGAAATCTGCCAAAAAATGGATAAGAAAAAATGATATTAAAGTTTTATCATATCCCTCTAGCAGGCCGGATCTTAATCCAATAGAGACATTTGGCACAAAATGAAACAAAGGCCAGAAAATGAGCATATTTTACCACGAGTACGTGGTAAAGAAATATGAGATAGTTTCATCCCCGAATTCTGTGAAGACCTAGTTGGTGCAAGGCGTAATGGAGTTCAGGCTGTAAGTCGAGCTAAGAGCTACGTCACTCGTTATTAATTTTTGTATTTTAATTTGTTACAAACCACTTGTTCCAATATTCCAATATTAGATAATAGTTGTTAGGACTCAAGTATCAGGCACGTTGTTCCATTTACGCAGTATAATAATGCACCTAAAAGTTACCATTCAAAATTATATCCAACATATCTAAATCCCACTCCAGACGGTAACTCATTGACTGTTTAATGCCGACATTAATAATTAATGATAATTAATAATTAATTATGTGACGAGCAGAATTGTTTTCTGTAGTCCTTGACCCAGACGATTGTACTGTAATTATGATTCAAACCGAAAGTGGTTTTTACTCTAGGCGAGTTCGGTTTTTGTCGTAGGATGCCATTGTCTGTCTAAAGCATAAAATATTGCGATGAGTTTGTTTTTACTTTGACCTTCACCAATCTTAAACTAAGAAAATCCTCGGCAGCTTCTAAGAAATCGAATTGAATGTTCAAATGATATGCGTAACTCCCCATGAGTTGGGCCACTTTTTTTTTGAATTAGCATAAAACTAATTCCCAAAGGGCGCAAAATATTTACTTCCTCTCAGAATTCATTAAGTTTATGTGTACACTTTTTTCTCTGGTTTTATTGTTTATTACGTTTAGTCGTTAATCTGAAAAGTGCAGTGTTCACAAATGAATCTCAAACAGCCCAGATCGTTCAGTAAATCTTCAAGTAACAGTAAAAAGAACCTTATTTTAGATTTTTTTTAAAGTCACTGTTAAGTTGTAAACAGTTGGAAACACGTTCAACTCAGCTTTGGTTTGTTTTGACGACAACCCTTTCAAACAAAAAAATTAATCACTGCTCGAAACTTTTTTATCCAGTGGCAAATTAAAGTTTATTTCAATCGACAATTGCAAGGAATTTACGACGTTTCGGGAAGTTCTATCATTCCCTGTTGCTAACTAAAGACTGTAGGTGTATATTAAAGGTTACACTTTAAAATAAACCACGGTGCAGCCATATAAAAATATAATTTCTCACATTTAATATTTGTGAGCGATGAAGATATCGAATATTCTTCCACTTGCAGATGTTCGTCAGACTGTTCGTAGACGAAAACCTGGACAGGATGGTACCGATTAGTAAGCAGCCGAAAGAGAAGATCCAGGCAATCATCGATTCATGCACCCGACAGTTTCCGGAATTCGCCGAACGGGCTCGTAAACGCATACGCACCTACCTCAAATCGTGTCGGAGGAATAAAAGGGCGAGGGATCCGAATTCACCATGGGATACCGTAAGTATTTAGTACCAAGTAAGATGTTTACGGTACACTACCCTACGAGTATTTTGACGTGGCACTGACGTCGTCATAGTCGAGCAAACGTCATATTTCGTGCTCGATTGTGGAACCAATGGGTCACCACGACGTCAATTGCTGACTAAACTGAAATACGACCAACGTCAAAAATACTTTACCAAAAATCTTTTAATTATAAAAAATTGACAAAATGTTTTTAATTTATTTTTTAAAGGTAAATATTTTTATAAAAGCTAACTTTTTGGATGAATTCTAATTCAAGTGGTAACATAACCATAAAATCTTTAAAATGTTGTTAACTGATTGCCACAAATCACAAAAAAACAAAATTTGTCTAATGGCGTTCCACCCTTTTTTTATATGCATATGTATTATCTTCGGAACCCACGTAATCCTCTAAATTTCCTGACAGTTGCTTATGTTATACTTAAACTTCTTTTATAATTAAGCCAACTTGGAGTATTTGTGTTTCTTGTTATTTTGTTGAAATTTTGATGCTTTGGGTCCTACTCTTACCAAATAAAAATTCTCTCAACGAGATTTCTTGAAGTGGAAACTGGAACTGTCCTTCGAAGACTGACTTATATAACTTTGGTTCCAGTCGAGACCCACCCCTGCCCACCTCACATCAGTGCAAGCGGAGCAAATATTGGCCACCGCGTGCGAAAACGAAAGCCATAATGCCAAAAGAATGAGGTTAGGTTTGGAGCCCGTCAGTCAGCCCATGCCCGTATTACCTGGGGCACAGGTAAATTACTATTTTTAATTCCAAATTCGCTTCCTTTAAGAGTCTATTTTCAGCCCACGGATACAACGGCGTCGATCACCAGAGGCATAGAATTTTCGAACAGCGTGAAACTAGAGAACGAGGTGTCAACGACATTTCCGTCAACGACGACGCCCTCTACCACGCCTAACTCGATTACCAAAGGTTCCATAACACCCGATCTGAAGTCGTCTTTAAGGTGATTTTATTGTATCTAAATAAACATAATATAAGATTTAATCTTTATATTTTTAAAACACCTTATAAGTATACATGTTAATGGTTGTTTCAGTTTGTCAAATAGTTTAGGGGTGGGTACTATGAACGGAATTAGTACCAATACTCCCGGGACAACCCCGACGGCTATGTACAGGCCCAACTTTTCGCAGGCGTTTCAGAGAGCGGGACCCTACCCCTTGTTTCCAGGAACTCCTTTTGGAACCACCGGGTTATTAGCTAACGGTAAGTACTATATTACTTACTAATGATTTTTTTAAAATAATTATTTTATTTTTTTTTTGCCTCTTGTCAGGATTTATTTTTAAGTTTACTTTTATTACCCTATTTGATTCAACGCAATTTCTCACTTTCTCCATCTCTTCCCCTCTCTAACGTGCAGTGCCCGCACGACTATCTCTGACGAATAAGAAAAAGAACTTATATATTTGTGAATACATGTTGCCTATAGAAAATAGCATAGAAAATAAATTGCTAACAGTTCATGGGTCTTTGGTTTGGTAATGTAAATTGTCGGAACAATATATTCAAATAATAGTTACTAGCTTTTAGAATTAAATTTCTCAGTTAAGAAAATTCAGTCTTTTTATTAATCATAATATAATTATCAATGAAATCGATACACCATTTAAAAATTAACCAATTTAGCCCTCCTTTACCACACAGCTTAGAAAACAGTATAGTATCAGATATATCGTATATGTATTAATGGTAAAAAATGTATTATGTTCCGAGGAGGCGCAGAATTTTCCCATCTGTTAATGGTGGTCAAATACATCTGCTAAATTGTACAGTATACCAATAATTAGTATGTAGCTAAATTGTTAATTGATTCATTTCGCTTGATTCAGATTTCTTATGCAGTTACTTTAAAAACATAAATTTAAATACTTTAAACGCAATAGTATATTACGCAACAAGTGTGGTAAACGGCATTTGTCACGAGTGTTTAATAAATGAATGACTTAAAAAGTTTACCAAAATATTCACTAACATGACTGTCAAAAATTCACAACGTAAAATCTACGAAAACATCCGATTGCTCCTAAACCCGTGCGGTCAGATCCCGAAAATGACCGAAGTGGCTCGGATCCGTGGGACAAGAAACTCAAGTGGTAAAGTGACGTTTACCACACGCTAAATCTATGTATAATTAGAGTTTTTACAGAAGGGAGTAGAAAAACCTAATTAATGAATACAGTATGATCATAGCAACTGAACAATTGAAAGCGAAAATCTGGGAATAACCATAAGACGAACAAGACAATAAAAAAAAGAATATAGGAAAAATATAAGGAAAGCTAAAACAATGTGAAAAAACATTACCCTCAGGTTTTTATAATAACGTTATAAATAAAAATAAAAAATACACATTTTCAAGGCAATAGTTGAAAATGTATTTATGAACGAAGTGTATAAACGAAAACTGAAGCAAACGGTTAAAGCAACTAAAGTACTGGATAAGAAATGTTAATATTTACATTGCAGTAGTATCCATTTTAACCTGGAGACTGAGGTGTGAAAAATTATGTTTGCGTCAAACTATTTATGCATATCTAACTTAACTAATATTAGGTACTTAAACTTAGTGACAAACCAATTTAGACATACATACTAAAATTCTAGCAAAAAAATTTATTTAATACATAGTGAACCCAGTGAATATTTCCCAGATATAATCCTTGGCTTCTTTAGAAAAAGTTATAATTGCTAGCCAACATATATCACCGCCATATGTCGAATGTCATAGAAAAAACCTTATTAGAATTTTTTTTAACGTTTGCTTTGGCATTAAAATTATTTGTAAAAATTCGAAATTTCAAAGAAAATGATTTTTTTCTTATTCTTAAAAATATCAAAGATATAATTTTATCAGGAACCTTTTTAGACTGTATATTCGCAGAAACTTTTGAAATGTTCATACGGCCACCGTAATAAATCTGGCACACTATTTTTAACGCTCTGCATATTCACAAATAGCACGGCTTAAAAAAAGAGGAGCATTTTTATTAATGTTGCTTGTACCATAATAAATTAATTTGCTCTATTAACAACGATACGGTAAGATGTTTTTCAGGCAGATGTTCAGAAGCTGTACTTATTTTTGGGTTTAAATTCAAAAATCTAGTTACTTCAGTAATTATTCTTAAAGCAGATTTATATCAGTTACTTATATGGTATAATTTTGGTAAATCCAGCACCAACTGACAAACAAAAATCCTGCGACACAAAAACGCAACATTTAAAATTTACTGTTTACTTGTTCGACATAAAATAAACTTATGTTTCTATTTACTTTTGTCAGGTGCCAATAATTTTCTATATTCAAACAATTTATTTTTTCAAACTTCCTGAAAATAAATAAATAACATATTATGCAATTGCATTTTTCGGCATTTGAGTCACAAGTTTATTTGGTACGGGCACAGCGAGTGTTTAATAAATGAGTGACTTAAGAGGTTTATCAAACGTGTTGAATTACATTCACTGACATGACCGTCAGAATTGACAAACGTCACAATTCAAGTCGCGCGATAATATCTCTGAAAATCTCGGAAATGTCCGAAGTGATTCAGATCCGCAGGACAAGAAACTTACGTGGTAAAGTGATGCTTTCCGCAGGCTAGATCGGTGTATAATTAGGTATTTTACAGAAGGAAATAGAAAAGGGTATTTTGTCTATACATGTAAGTGGACTCAGTTTGCAGACTCTCGGTTATTGCCTGCCTGATGCCGTCGAGTTCTAATTTTTGCCTTTTTCCTGAAGAACTTTGGTACAGATGGTAAACTATTTCAATTCAACGAAAAAAATTAATATTTTGATTAAACACTAATTCTGAGAGACTTATTATGACTTCTGCTGAACTATTTACATGTTTGTGCAACATTAAGTTCTCCCTTACCTATGTGTGTATTTTTCTAAACAATAAAAAATAACTCCATCAAAACCAATAACCGCGCATATAACCTTAAAAGTGACTGTCCTTTTCATGGTGACTCACCGATTGTTTACAGTCTGTCGTTTCTCCGCCTTACTGTAGAGGTCGCGTTCCATGATGTTAGTTTTCCGACTTAAGAAATAAAGGTTTATTTGGAAAATTGCGGTCTAATAATTTAACCGCAACCTACCATACCGTTTAACATCGGACGTGTTTAGAATCGTTGAAAATAATTTCCGATTGTAATTTTAGGGCCCGCCGATTTGAGTATAAAACAAAAGCCACTCGTCAACCACAAACTCAACGCGGGTGAAATGGCTGCCGTTAGGCAGCTAATTACCGGCTACAGAGAATCGGCCGCCTTTTTATTGAGATCGGCTGACGAACTCGAACAATTGCTGCTGCAACAGCAATAGTGTCAACTTTAATTCACTTTTCGTGTGACCCGGACGGTTTCCGTTGAAGGACAATTTGTCGCTGTGATTGTGACCGCATCTATTGGGATTAAGGGGTGTTTGATCACTTGCCATATTCGCTAGTTAACGGTGTTTCCACGTCGGGAGCCGTCAAGCCAGAGCAGGGTATCCAGTAATAATTTCGTTTATACATTGTTAATGCCACACACACGTAAACCACACTCACACACGCGTTTCTACTTTAAAAAAGGCGACATTTAAATAGTCATGGCATACACTTAAGTCTAGCCCCCCTCTCCTTTTGTAAATACTCATTAAATTATTAAATGTACACTACCAAAGACATTATTTGTATAGTTTTATATTCTTCGAAGAGTATAAAAGAGTCATTATGAAATAATATATGAACAAACAACAAAAAAATTAAATTTATTTAGCACTTACACTTTAAAACGGATCAATGTATTTCAAATTATAATTTTAAAAATATATTATATATAATATATGTTTCGTACATTGTAGTCCTATATCGAGAACATTATTTAACACATTATCGGTTTGATGAAATACTGTGATTGTTTTTTAAATGTGCATTATATTTTTCAACTCACTAGATATGATGCTGTCCCATCAATTTTAGCACATTCCATTGTAAATAGATATGATTGTATTTTGTCTTGATTCACTGCCAGAGAAGAATAAATACATTATAAACCTATAAAGTGTTTTATTTTTTGAAATCTAGTAAGAATTGAGCTCATGTGCTATTTTAGCTTTTTAATTATTATTATTATTTCTCTTATTGCCAATACCCATTGCCATAAAACATGTTTCTGTGGTTCAGTCCGTCTTATGCTTCTTCAATGGTTCTGATGTAGAGATTAAATGTACATGTGATACTTAAAACAAATTCGACTGCCCTTGAAGTACCTCTGTGCTTTATTTTTGCTTTTCACCAACTAATTTCATTCTTGGCTCTCTGCTATATTGCAAAATTTGTTATTTGTTATTGCAAAGTGCTGATGAAGTACTTATGAAGCAACAAAAAAATTGAGAAGATTCATTTTAAATCTCGTTTATAACCCACATGCCACATTGAACAACCAACATGGCCGCTGACAGATAGTCAAGTAGTTTGGATGCTGCATAGCATTTTTCTTAAAATATGTATACATCTCGTTAAATGCTATGGGAAGACGAGTTATATGTGTGTGGAAATTACTGTTAGAGCCATGCTCGGAAAATCATTCCCTTCTCTACAAAAATATCAATACCGCCTGCAACGCATCAATTTTTACCATACTAGGGTCACTATATTATCTAATATTTATATGGGTTTTAAGCCCAATTTTCACGATCGCCGTTGCATAACCCTGAACCTTCTCACCGACCAATTAAATAGAAATCGTATCCAGTTAGAACTTGCTCGAATTTCACGCGAGAAGTTGCGAATTTTTGAAGTATTCTTTTAAAATTGGGATTAGAAAAATTAACAATTCATTATGTGAAAGTACATGGATTTTCTGAGCTTTAGGTGGATGTGATAAATATAGATAATTGATAATTAGTACAGAATGAAGTTAGGTTAGTTTTTGGTTAGTGATATTTAGTGAGATAATCCAAATAATTAGTACACTGTGAAGTTGGCTTTTTTTCGGTTAGTGATATTTAGTAACTTGCCAAATTATTTTTTAAAGTTTGGACGCTACAACTTCAATACTCATGCAACAAATTGCATAATCTATGCCTAGTTTCTAAATACAAGAGTTATAAAATGTAAACAAGTACCTATTCGTCTACCTGTCAGTCTCGGTACCTTTGACAATCATAGGTACAATATACTCCTATGGACCACTAAGCCCACTAATTCAAATTCAAATTCAAATTTATTTCGTGATATTTACAAAAAAACGATTGTTTTCACACGTCCTCTATGAAGTGTAAGATATCAAAAGATATCACAGCCTATTCATCACATATAATACTAATAAATAAGCAAATACAACTAATCAAACGTATAAAACACAAGAATGTACAAAACAAATTAATAAAAACGTTTACAAAATTTAAATAACACTATGCCAATCCCAACCACAAACACAATTCATATTTCCAAAATCAAACTCGAGATATTCTTGTATATTATAGAAAGCCCTTTCAAGAAGTTCGCTATAAACGCATTCAAACTTAAATCCCTTAATTTGTTGGATAATTTATTATATGACAGGACCGTAATAGTTATGAAAGTACCTGCTATGATTCAATCTTGTAAAAGGCAATCTTATATCAGTTGTACCACGGGTGTTATGTTCTTCACGTAAATAAGACACAATAAAATATAATGACTTGGCCACGTCAGAATACGAAGGCCAATAAAATATGGTCTTACGTCATCGGCATATCCTATTCCCGACAATACTCTCACCAATCTCTGTAAACAAAATACACGATATGCATGAGCAGAATGGCCCCATATAAATAAACCGTAAGAACACTTAGAGACAAAAAGAGAGTGGTAAGCCAACATTAACACAGACCGAGGCACAAGGTTCTTCAGTGATCTAATTAAAAATATAACGCCGGTAATCCTATTACATAATTTGTCTACATGATATTTCCACATTAGATGTGGATCAAAATGAAACCCTAGGTATTTTACTGAGGCCAGATTTTCGTAACCATGGTTTCTATAAGTAAAAATTATTTGCTGTGTTTTTTGCTGGTTAAGACTGAATAAATTACAGTTGCAGCAATTATATATATCAGACATTACATTATTTAACTCAGTTTTATGTCGTTTATATATATATCGAGAATAGCACTGGGCCAAGCGTGGAGCCTTGTGGAACACCAGTGGGGCTGATTTTTACCGGAAACTTCGTTCCGTCATCCAGTACGTATTGCTTAGGATTGGTTAGAAATGAAGCAATTAAGTTGATACTTGTACCAGTACAATTATAATATTTTAACTTGCGCAGTAATATATTTGGATTTACGCAATCAAAAGCTTTTTATAAATCAAACAAGAGGGAACCAACAAATTTGTTATTTTCAAAGCCCTGTACTATTTCTTACATAAGCTCACTAGCATCTTCCACAGTAGACTTGCCGCAACGAAAACCGAATTGTCGCTCGTAAAACAATGAGTTTACCTCAAAATAGTTTGTCATTTGAGTTGTTAAAAGAGATTTAATTTTTTTTAAAGAGTGGTGGAACAGCTATAGGGCGAAAATCAGTTAAATATTGAATATTCTTCTTTTTGGGCAGGTGTACAACTTTTGACATTTTAATACACCAGGATATATGCGCTCAGCTATGGATAGGTTTAATAACTTTGTCAATGGTTTCAAGTTTTACAGTCTAAGAATAATTTATATCTCTTGAATAAAAAAGGCAGCAAATTGCGGCAACTTTTTGCGATGTGAAAATTGCAGAATATCAAGGTCAATCAACACTGAATACTAGTGTTAATTTTGGTTAATTTGGTCCCAACGTTATTAGAAATTTCGGCCAGTTTATGGGAAGCAGAGGTGTCGCCTAACCTCGTCGAAACAAATCCATGATTTGAACCCTTTTAGAAAAAATCGATAAATAAATATTTTTTGTTTTTAAGTATGCTGCTGCTATCTATTATTTAATTTAATAACGTTTGTTAATGTTTATTTTTCAAAGAAACTTCCACAGGTTACTGTAATACTTTTTATAAAACTTCTGGATTCCTTCTAAATAGGTTTTTGTTGAGTCGAACTAGCTAAAGTTTCGCCAATCATCCTGTTGGCTTCTTCAGAGCTTGACTGAAACTGGCTCGCATTTTACTCTGTACCTGTTTTTATATTGTTTGAGGGGGGCGGAGCTAATTGAGGGGTATAAAAACCGTCTCGGATGACTGATTCCCATATTGGTGACAGGTAAAGACCTGAGTCGCGGTTAAGATTGTTGGGTTGCTTATAGATTTCTATAAACTCCCGGATTTTTCGTTGGTAGAAGAATTCATTACATGCATACAATTTTAGTTTTATCGAATAAAATTGTATGTCCGGTTTCGTGATTGTGTTCGGCAACTGCTGATGAATTTATTTGCCTTGGTCTTAAGGCTCTTTCATGAACCTAGTTGATATTTTTCGTCCGGTCTCTCCAAGGTATTCTTTGCCGCATATGCATGGAATGCTGTAAACTCCTGGCATCTCAAATGGAATTTTGTCTTTGACGGATCGAAGATGTCGAGAGATTTTTGGACAAGTGGTAAATCTGGTTTTGACGTTATATTTCTTTAAAACTTTTGATATGTGGCCAGTGATGTTTTGAATATAAGGAAGGACAACAGTGGCAAGTGTGCGATTGCTTTCGGTTTCATTACTATTGGAAGGTTGTGCTGAAGTGTACTTCGTGATAGAACGCTTAATATCTTTAATGTGGAAATTATTAGAGAAAAGAGCAAAGGTAAGGTGTTTTAATTCTGGGCTCAATGACCCGGGCTCAGATAGTTTTACGGCTCTATAAACAAGAGAGGTGATAACCGATGATTTTTGGGCGGAATGGTGATGTGACAATGCATTAAGGTATCAGTCTGTGTGTGTAGGTTTTCTGTAAACAAGAAAATCTACTATACATTTAAACTCTATACATCCTAAAATACGTTTTACGATAAGAAATAGAAACCAATAACAACCCCCCGTTCTTAGATATTCTTATCAATAGAAAATCAAACCTAACATGGAGGCAATGCTTTGTGACCGATACCCCAAGGCAATGTCATTATTGTTGATATTTTATTAATAATTAAAAGACGAAAGCTACAGGGGGCGATAAAAAAAATATTTAACAATTAAAACTTTTAAAATGGTAATTAAAAAAACTTCAAATAATATTTTCTCTTACAAAACTTCTGGATTCCTCCTACGTCGGTTGTTGTTGAGTCGAACTTTCTAACGTTTCGCCAGTCATCCTGTTCTTCAGAGTTTAATTGACAGGATGATTTTCGAGACGTCAACAGTTTCAGGTTCAGTTAAGATCTGAAGAAGCCAACAGGATTATTGGTGAAACGTAAGCTAGTTCGACTGAATAAAAACCAACGCAGGAGGAATCCATAAGTTTTATAAAAAGTTTGTTAATGTTGTTAAATTAATGTTCGCATATTTTTCCAAATTTTTGTTAGACGATGTAAATTATACCATGCTATAACGATCGAGAGATTTTTTATAACGTTCTCGATAAGCATCTATTAAAGTTCAAACACAAAGTTAAAGCAGAAACAAAAATAAAACGAAAATTTAAAACAATTCAAACTGACGGCAACGTATACAGTGATAGACAAAAGTATATGTAACAATATTCAAAATGACGCAAATCGTTAAACACAAGTGCCACCTCGGGGTTAGTCTCTGAACAAATTTAGTCTGGTTTTCTGGTTATCTCATATAGCTATAATAAATATTAGGAAAGACGACGACTACATAATGATTACATCAGCAAATGGAATAAGAATACGCTTGGTGTCATTGCTAACGTAAACGTCATCTATGTTGAATACTGTACTAGAGATATAGATACAGGAACTTATAAAGTAAATGTGAAAAATAAATTGAGGTCCATTCAACATACGCATGCTCGAGATTTATAATCTCGTTTTTTAACCTATGATCTTGCGGCATATAATTCAATTAAATTTCATTTTTACGGCAGTATTTTCTCAAAAAATGCCTAGATCTCGTTAAATATTCTGCGAACACCAGTTAAGTGTGTGGAAATAGATGTTTAGAAAGAAAATGGGGCAAAGTGCAGGTTAGTAGGTGAAATGTAGAGGCATGCGCGGAAAATCATTACCTTTTCTACGAAAATCAATCAATCAATCAATTTTTGCCGTAGTAGATAGTGGTCCTAGTACGACCACTATATTACCCAATAGCTATATGGTCCAGGCATATCCGGCTTCCATACCGGTGTGAATCGCAATCCCAGCGGGGCCGGCAATACTTGTTCTTTCAAAACGTTTACAAAATTCACAAATAACTGAAACCACTTAATTCAAACCAATACCGCAACTCAAACCGAATACAATACGGTCCGAACCGAGGTTCTCTTTCTCTCCATTACTTCTGTTGGGCAAGACTGCTATGATCACTCGGCCACTTACCAATATAGTTCAACATTCAACAAAAAACGGCGGTGCCGACAACGATTATAACTTTAAAACAATCACAAAACAATGAAAAAAGAAACGCTCCACCTTTGGTATCAAAAATTTTAAGATGATTACAACAGATTCTGTCGGGAGCGACCGGAGGTTAAATTGTCATGTGCAATGCCACCGATAGAATCGAAGCCGAAGTTGTGTGCAATATTCACCACAGAATACTCACCAAAGAATCCTCTCTCTCTCTCTCTTTGCTTTTCCTTAAAGTGGGCAGTCAACTAAGGACATTCGTCCATTACCGACTTCCATCAAGGAATATTTTCTTTTTTTCACAGACCAACACGTAAAAAAATATAACCATTTGTTCTTTGACCGATACCAAAAAAAAAAAAAACGGTCTCCCCCCAATACCTACAAACACCATTCGGGCCGATCCCGCCTCCATACGGGCGTGAACAGTTAAAACAGCGGGGCCGGCAGAACTTAAACACTTAAAAGCGAACACCAAACACTACCGAAATAGAGTCACACGAAAAAAGACCGATACCAAAGTTTTGGGACGAATACGACGGATTCTGCTAGGATCCAACGGAGGTTAACCCGCGTGCAATGCTCCACCACAGAATTCACCAAAGAAACCGTGTATTGCTTTATAGGCAATTCTTCTTTTTGAGTTACCGAATTTTAAAGAAAACATTTGGAATTAACCTATATTAACTGAACAAATTATATTGATAATTCAATATTTTTATCTCGATACGTGGAAATTTGCTGATGTGTTCGTTATTTTCTTACCGGTGGTCACGACAGTTTTATATATTATAATGCTGAAGGCTGTCATTTTAATTGGTGGTCCCCAAAAAGGTAATCTAATTTTTTTAAATATTGTGTTCGAGTTAATCGATTCAAAAAGAATTAATCTGTGTTTATTTTAAGGGACTAGATTTCGGCCACTTACATTGGACATTCCAAAGCCTTTGTTCCCCATAGCGGGATTGCCTGTTATCCAGCATCACATTGAAGCCTGTGCCATTGTAGAAGGATTGAAAGAAATTCTGTTGATCGGGTCTTACCCCGCTTCCCAATTTCAGCAATTTGTATATAATATGCAACTTCGTTACAATGTGACTATTAAGTACCTGCAAGAATTTACAGCATTAGGAACTGCTGGTGGCTTATTCCATTTCCGCGATCAAATACGATACGGAACACCCGACGCCTTCTTCTTGATGAATGGTGATGTTTGTTCTGATTTTCCATTGAAGGAGTTATATCAGTTTCATAAGGAGAGGCCAAATGGGGCTTTGGTAGTTTGCTTTATAGAAGATTGGAAATAATATATGAAAATGTTTTTTTAGGTTACTATAATGGCCGCTGAAGCCACTAAGCAACAATCTCTCAATTTTGGTTGCATGGTTACTGACAATGATACCCATGAAGTGACCCATTATGTGGAGAAACCCAGTTCTTATATTTCAACTTTGATAAATTGTGGAGTGTACACTTTTTCATTGGATATATTCCCCGTAATTGGGGAAATTTTTCACTTGAGGCAGCAAGACATTTATAAGTAAGTATTCTGGTTTGCCTATTTTTTTTTGTAAAAGTTCCTTATTTATTACACAATTTTATTATACTGTAACCAAAAATTATAACAAATAGTTTAGGAATTTACGTTACTTATACATATAGAAACAGATTCTAATAAACCAACCTTTATCAAAATCTTTATAATAAGAGCTGCACAAGGACTTCCACAATAATAATAATAATAACAATAATAATAATAATAACAACAATAATAATAATAATAACAATAATAATAATAATAGATTTCTCTTTATTATTTATGTGTAAACATTTTCAAAAAATTTATTTAATAATGTGTGATTTCAATTCATTAACAAATTTGCTAATTCATTAAACTCCAAAGAAGCCCGCGAAACTGAATTACAGGCACCCTATTATTTTTATAAATGTGATCTGTGATCTAGTATTTTAAGTATGAATGTCCTGTGCAATTAAGGCTGAAGTTGATTTTTTGTTTTTTTATAACTTATAAACAAATATAAAACATAAATACAAAAATAAATATATAAAGGTCCTCAGTGTATGCCAGCCTGTTATATGAAAAAAAAACTTAATATTTCGTTTAGCAGACTCTCACTTTATGGCGAACAGTTAGATAATTTAACAATGCAAAATTACCTTTTTTAGTTAAATGGTCAATATACTGGGAAGTATGTATTTATTTTTTTAATGTTAATCTTTTTTTTTTTGCTTACTAAATTCCTATTTACTAGGAGTGTGAGTTTGGTCCTGCTCTCCGCTCTGTAAATCAGTACCAAATCTTTCAAATTAAGAGCATACAGGGAGTACAGCAACGAACGGACTATTTTAGTACTTCAGAACTGATCTCAAATTTTATTTCTTGTAGAAGTGAAAACGGTAATGACGTAAAAGAAGCAGGATTTATACAGCTGGAGCAGGAGATTCTGACACCTTTAGCAGGTACAGGTAAAATGTTTGCCATGCATATAACCAATTGGTGGTCCCAGTTGAAAACTGGTAGTTCAGCTATTTACGCGAATCGGCATTACCTGGAACTTTACCAGACTAAACATCCCGAAAGGCTCTCTAGCTGCAAAGAACCCACTATAATTCCAGATGTGCATATTGATCCGACAGCTGTCGTTGACTCTACTTCCGTGGTGAGTCTTAAATTTAAATGAGCTTTTTGGAGTAGTGATTAATCAAACGGTTCAGATAGGCCCTAACGTCAGCATAGGAGCGTCGGTCGTGATCGGACCGGGCGTTCGCATCAAAGAAAGTATAGTTTTGGATGGGGCGGTTATCGAGGAGCGCAGTCTGATTATGCACAGCATAATCGGAAGAAATTCGAGGGTGGGAAAATGGGCTAGAGTAGAAGGCACACCCTGCGACCCGGACCCCAATAAAGCATTTGCCAAAATGGAGAACCCACCTCTGTTTAACAACGACGGCAAACTCAACCCTTCCATAACAATTTTGGGTAGGTCCGTTATAAAATATTTCTATAAACAGCTAACTACGGAAAGTTTTCAAATCTGTTTGAAACTTGTTTATGCGACATGTCCAACTTTAAGCAAGTTCATAAATTGCTGGTCGACTTGTTCACACATTATTTTGTTTGAAACTGAAACTGGTAACGTTTCGCCAATCATCCTGTCAATCAAACTCTGAAGAACAGGATGATTTGCGAAACAACCAACAACAACCGACGTAGGAGGAATCCAGAAGTTTTGTAAGAGAAGATATTAATATTTGAAGTTTTTTTAATTACTATTTTGAAAATTTGTATCGTTAAATATTGTTTTTTGTTATTGAGCCCTGTCGCCTTTTAATTATTTATAAAATATCAGAAGAAAATAACTTTAACTTTCTAAATACAAATAAGTCAAAAACCAACCGAGTAAGACGGCTTAAACATATATACCTTTTCTATGATATATTGAACATTATTTTTTTGATTTTCATTATGTTTCAACCATAACTCGACAGATAAAAAAAGATTCGATTTATCTAAATAATACCGTGAAACTAGCACCCTCTAGGAGCAACGCCCAAATAATTTTTGAAATTCGTAATTGTCACGTTAAAAAACCTAGAACTGCCAATTTTTTTAATGTAATTAAAGAAATATGTATATATGACGCATGTTGCGCTCAATCGTAATATTGTGGTGTTTAGTGTCTCCATTTCCATTTGTCCATTGTTAATAAATTTTATTTTTTGGTTATTTATTTATTTATTGTATTTAATGTCATTTCAATTTACACTCAATAACATGACTCTTCGAACCCTAGTTCAAAAAGCTTGAACGCAATTTCCATTAACACTGCATTTAACTTTTTATGGCCTCCTGTAGTTGTAATAAAAATTATCAAAAATTGGTTGTTTATGAGTCGATAACTTTAGTGTATTGCTGTGAGTTGCAGTTTGTAATTTTTATATAAGTTTTATCAGTCATGTAAGGTTATCAACTATTTCTATTATTATTTTTATAGGGTGTTCTGTAAGTGTTCCATCTGAAACGATCCTCTTAAACTCCATAGTATTACCCAACAAGGAGTTGTCCAGAAGTATCAAAAACGAGATTATCTTGTGAAGTCGCGACAACACTGGACCAAGTGTCAATTCCGTACAAATATTTTAAACTAAGACTAAAAAATTGTTTTTTGCAGGCAGGATGGTCTTGAAAAAAGTAAATAGAAAATGTATTATCAAATAAGATGCATTTATACAAAATTTACAAAGTAATATACAAATATACACTGGAAATTAATGACGTTTCAATCTTAGGTACTGTCGTCGCTGGAAATCGACACTATCCTCCTTCGTTTGGGTTTATCCGATTTTGACTTTTCCTCTGATTTTTTCCTTTTCTTCTGCTTCAGCTTTCTCTCCAAAATTTCCAGTTCGGAAAGATCGTGGCGTTGCGTCAACTCATCGTCTTTTGCATCCACGACAAACGAGTCCTTCAATTTATTTTTATTATTATTTTTTATTTATCCACGGGCATAGCTCAATTACAGAATGCTAAACTTATAATTCACAGTAGGCTAAGAGTAGTATTAGGTCAGATATTAAATAAATATAAAATACACTTTATATCAATAACAAGTCTAAAAATAGATAACTAATCTGTATTTGAAGTATGCAGAACCTGAGCCAGGAAGATGCCAAAGGAAGCAAGAAGTTCTCAATTTGATAGTGATATTTGATTGCGATCATCAGTAAGTCTTGCTGATCCGGAAATAAAAGTATTAAACTCATAGTTGGTGCCATGGATCGGATGAAAACTGCCGGTGGAACAAGATTTTGTGAAGAAGTTCTGAAACTCCCATGTATAATAATATGAGTTCTTTCTTCTTATGGGGTATGGTAATGGTAATGAGAATCATATTCAGAAGGACCAGTACCATATCATTATAGTTATCATGAAAGTGTTGGTTACTCCTTCCAATGAACCCAAGCACCAGAAAAGCTTTTTTAACCGCATTATTGAAGCGATAGGAAAAATATGAATCTGCATCAGACTCCAAGATCCTTGATAAGAGAAACTTGGTCAAGGAAGTGTGGACCAATGTTGTAATTAAATTTAATAGATCATATTGTAGTTTGTCAGAATCAACAGGAGATCTATTATACATTTTGAGGTCCGTCAGCCAACAGCCGAAAAAGGCAATTGCTAAAATATTTGTGAATGTTATTCAAATTTTACAACATAAATTAAATAAATAAATACAATAAGTAAATCTAAGAGGCGGAAGGTAACGGAAGTAAAGTCAATACTTACTTCTATATACGCATCATTTTCAGTATCGACGTTTTGGGAGTAAATGTTGTCAAGAGGCAGCGGAGGCTTGGATGGGACTTTTAAGCGCCTTGGAGCCGGACTTCTACATTACAAAACAATAAAAATGAAAGCTAAACAGTTCCAGTGAGGAAATGAAAACCAACCTCATTGATTTTAAATAGTGAAGATGCATTTGGGTGTTCATGTTTTGCGTTTCGTCGTTTACAAAGCTTGAGTCATAAACATCTAGTTCCCCGTCGGATTCGTCGTCCGAAATGAAAACGTTCTCATCTTCCGATAATTTAGCTTCTTCTTCTATAAATGGATTTTTTCGAGTCTGCGAATGAAGTGCGGATGTATTTGTCGGGCGGTTGTTTCATTAAATTGTCTAGTCCTGACGAAACCTTATTATTCGTCAGCAGATATTTTAATTCTATTAATCAAAATACCAACAGCAATTTAAAATTAAATATAACTAGGACATGCTTTAAGCTCTGCCTCCCAAATTTTCTTTGATTGATTGATATTAAACCAGTTTAAGGAAAGTGGAAGTTAGTTATAAAAAAATAATAATAAATGAAAACGTGTCGCTGAATATGAAGAAAATATTGGTTCGGTCATAGAAAAATCAAATATTTCAGATTTCAGAAAAATTAGTGAATAAATATTTCAAGAACTCTATATCCTTATAAAATAGAGCTTGTTCAAGAACTGGAATTTTTTTTGATAACCGAATGGAATTTTGTACATGGGTGTTAAATAAAATGACAAAAAATGAGTTTTTTTGTCAATTTTTTAAATATCACAGGTAACTAGATTCACATTTATTTAGATAACACCAAAAACCGTATTCTGCGAAAACGAGAAGACACCCAACACTTTTTTATATCTGATATTCCCAAATTCCATATAGGTAACGAACAAACAATAAAACTTTTGTTTAGAAAACATCAAATTGCTCATTAAACAATAAATTAGCGAAAACGTGAAGAGTAAGCTATAAAGACACCTTGACTCTTTTTGATAGGGAATTGAAAAGTACATTCTCTAATAGGTTAAAAAATATTATGCTTTGTTTACATTAATCAAATTATAGTCATTCAAAGTTGCTATTTGACTATATATAAAATAGGGTCTAGGATTACACTTTACTTTTAGATTTCGCTGACATACCTTATGTCTTATGTGAAATTAAAATTAGGTTAAATTTCGACAATATTCAAATATCATAAACGTCCTTGAAACGTAGAATCCGAAAAATTAATAATAAAACAAAAATAATATACAAGGGGTTTCATTTTAAACAATACCACTTTGATACGCCTAAAAGTAAAACTTTTTGGCCACATATTCCGTGCAGCCTAGAGAGAGAGAATTTTGTTATTACTTCTATATATAAACAGCCTAAAAGATAATTAAATTCTATGCATACTTTAGAATGCATTCCTGTTAATCGCGATATGAATCGCCTAACAACAGAGTATTCAATTAACGTGGTAACTTCTTGTATTCTGTAAATCAAGTGGTTTAAATGCATGCTGTTAACTAAATCGAAATTGATATTCTACGAAAAGTTGACGAAGTGCAATAAAGCGCTCGAGACGAATGACACTTTGCCATGTCTAGAAGGTGTCATTGAAGTGACATCATATAATGAATGTGGACCCCATCTTAACCCCGAATCGGTGTTACGTTTGGACGACTATGGTCGCCAACTAACATCTCACTGTGGGACTGACAATCGCGATACCTGTCACTGAACTCTACAAGCCAAATGATGAATATATTTCTTGTAGATTTCGATAAATCAGTTGCCAGACCCACTTGATCCATTCGCCTGGGACATGGTGACGACCAACAATGTCGATTATGTGTGTCGTTAAGACTCGGGTAATGTTTTGTTTACAAACTCCAAATGAGGACCAAAAATTTTAGATTTTATGAGATTACACATTACTCAAAAACACTATCAAATAAAATACAACTATCAAGTAAGAGTATCGGACAGACTAAATTACAAGAATAAAAATTGTATGCACCCATACGTGGCTTAGCTGTTGGAATAGACATGATTTTTGATCAGTTCAGTTAGGTAGATTACTATCTTTTTCGCTATGTTGCGCCGAAAGGACTGGTCATTGGTGCAAAACAATTGAACGAACCTTTAATAAGATGAGAATTCATTAAACTAGTGAATTAAAGAAAAAAACATAGAACAAACATAGTGATTCTCAATTTCACCGTCTGGAAAATAATTAGAAGGAAAATATATCCCCTTTATCAAAACCCGTTTGTTTCTACTCTGGATAATCTGAAAAGGAAGCTAGAAGAAGATTAAATCGATATAATTATTAGCCGTGCCAACTTCCATAGTAAAATTGCATATAAATACCGCAAAATCGCACTCGGAAATTAAAAAATATATTTATTTATTGTAAGCTTCTTGCTGTTGTCTCCTATGAGTATTAAGGACTATCGTGAAGATACAAACGAAAAAGTTTTTTAAAACCAAGTAAAATCAAATGTGGGAGCAGAAAATGTTACTTTTCGCAATGTTGAAAAAAAGTCACTTTCTTTCGTAATTTGAATTGATAAAATGAATGGCGCACTCATGCTGCTTTATTAACAAATTAGACTATTTTTATAGTCTGAATTTATGAAATTTGCAAAATTGATGGTGACTTTTGTGCCATATCAGCTTTTTTCATATTTCCAAACCAGTTGCGCCGAAATGTTAACGTTAACACTGCAACAAGTTATTTTTGGGGGTTTGAATTTATGAGACTAACAACGTAGGGATTACTTGCTGCGATCTCACCAAGGCCTTTGACCACATATCGGAGATCCTGTTAAAGAAGCTAGAATTTTATGGAATCAGTGTAAAAAGCTTTCTTTTATTAAATCGAACTGTGTACCCTGTTCATGGCGTTGACCCTTCTGATAGTGGGACCTCCAATGGAGTATCGCAGGGGTCAGTACTTTCACCTTTACTGCTGTTAATATAAACTATAACAAGTCAAATAAAAACAAAAAATGTCTGTTTATCGATGATACCACAGAAGTCGATATGAATTGAAGAAGACATTGAAGTTTTGAGACTTGAGTGAACGATTTGTTGCAAATGGACTACAACTTAATACACCAAAAAATATATATGCCCTCCTATAATAGGCGTGTGATTAAAAACAGAGACCGTGAATTTCTCAGATTGGAGACATTGAGCATAAACCATTTCGATTCTAAATTCTTCAACAAATTTGCAAATAATATTACACAAATACATCGAACGAAAGATTTTCAAATTCAAAATAAAAACCATAATTAAAAAATCTTTCTCTAATGTGAAAGATTTCTTAAAAGTGTGATAAAATTTAATTTCAGCAATTTAAATGTGATTAATGGATACCACATTAAGCACTAAAATACCTGTGATAAGAATACTCTGTATTTGGAACAGCAATAAAACTTTACTTTACTTTACTTTTTGCTTGGTTCATCGCCGTCATTATTTCAGACCTTTGAAAAAACCAGTGCCACTTCAGGCATTTGATACCAGGCTGCAACCGCTCTAACGAGTATTTTTACCATTTATTCCTAGACCATGAGATTCTTTCATTAAATTATATGACGTCATTTGAATAACACCCATATTTAGTGACTTTAAACGTCAAATTAACTTAGGTCTTTTAAATAACCACCTCTGCACGCAATAAAACCAGTTATGCCACTCCCTAAGCCTTTTAAAGCGCACACATAAATACGAATCTTACCTTTTTCCTAGAGGTAGTTTTACTTGATCTCGCGTTGGGATTACCATTCCTCATACTCTTGGTATTTACCGTCTCAGATAAGGGTTTCAAGAAAACAGGATTTCTCTTGGGATTTTCGAATTCTTCGTCGCTGGACGTGTCTGGAATGTTGCCCAACACGCTTTTCCGGTTTGTTACACGTTGAGTAATAATTTGGTAAGGGTCCACATTCGGTTTTTTGAGGTTCTTTTTAGGAGTAGGGAAAGAAAATTCACCGTCGATATCTTTCTTGGTACTTAACAAATTTTTTTTTGACGTACGATTTCTACTGTCGGCACTCGATGGTTCGCTCGAACTGGAGGATTTCAGCTTGGCTTGATTGATATTGTTCGACTCGTTTTCCTTCTGCGAGCTGCCTATTTCCTTTTGTTGACTTTTATTTATCAGTGTCAACATTTGGGTAATGGAAAGTTGGGTCGGGGCAGATAATTTTTTGGGCAAAGGCTTTTCGGGACTATCTTTTGTTAAATCAACCGTCGTCTCCTTAATGTGGGGCTTGTTTGTTTGTGTCAGTAATTCAATTATGGATTCATCAACCAAATCCAACAGATTATCATCAATATTAGTCAATCCTGCTGCAGCTGGTTCCTCTTTTTCTGCAGGTGGTTCACAAAATGTTACATCAGAATCGGAATCCTCAGAAGCTAGATCAGGCTTATCCAACTCAAAACCTGTTTTTCTATCACACCTTGCTGTTTCAACCCCTAGGTTCTGAGCTTTAGTGGTAATCTCGAGCGGGTTTGTATCTTTGCCAAACTTCTGGTCAAGGAGAGACCAACTGGTGCTAGCTTGGTTGGTTAAATTCTTGGGCTTTGTATTGACTTGTTCATAATTTTTTTTGCCAGGTCTCGCATCATCGCCTACCTTGGATAAGCTTCCACAATTAGCTTCCAACAAGGAGGTGCTTGGAGCATTTATCGAAGTCTTAGTGGATTTTGAATATGGTATATCTTTTACAGCAGAATTCTGATTAAGCTTTTCTAATCTATTATAATCTCTTTGGCAAATCGGCTTTTCTTTTTCTTTGCTGGAGTTGTCTGTGGCATTCAATAAATTGACAGACTCTTGCGCATCAGCTACAATGTTAGTGAACTTTGAACAGGATCGTCCAAGATTCTTTTTAGGGTAGTCAGTATTTGCATTGTCCTTATTTCGTTCTCTTACATCTGATTTCTTTTCAATCGTAATTCCGAACATCGATAAATCGCAAAATTCGCTAACATCAGCTTTAACGTCTTTTTCGCTCAACCCGAAACTCGAGACATCGCAGATGTCTGATATGTCGATATCGCTCTTGGGCCTCATACTAGGAGTGACTAATAAAGAGCTTGTCTTCTGTCGGATAGGAGTACTGCAAATTGTTGTTCTCACCTCTTTAATGTTAAGTTCTTTAACTAACTGCTTTTGGACTTCTGTTCGCTTCGTATTCTCAAAGACTTTTCTTCTGATCGACCTGAATTGATAACATTCAATTGCTTGTTTTATGTTTTAATTTTTTTTTTATCTAATTATATAAATTTGAATTATTTACTTGTTTAGTTGCTTAAATGTAGCGCTGGCTTTGCGTAAATCAAGCTAGCTGATAATACTTTTGATTTTTTATATTTATTTTCATACTATAAGTATCAATGATTTAACCTAGAGATTTTTAAAATAATTTGGTTTTTGTCAAAATTTAATCTAACTTTAATTTCACAAATACATAAGAAGTATTTAAACTATGTAAACCAAATCTATAGTAAAGTGAAGCATATTTTATATTTTAATTATAACAATTGGCCACAAATTTATTCTAATCTATAGGAACTTTAAGTTTAAGAGAATGTATTTATCGATTACTTATCAAAATGGTGTTATGGTGTTAGCTAACTCTTCACGTTTTAGCCAAATCATGGTTTTTGGTGCCATCTAAATAAATGTTTTATTGCATCTACTTGCCTATGTCTATTCAGAAATGGATCGAAAAAGTTCTTTTTCTGAAGCTCGATTTAACGGCCACCTACAAAATTCAATTCGTTGTCAAAATTATTTCTAAGCTGTTTTTTATAAGGACTAAATCTGTATTTTTTAAAGGAATATTTCTATTTTCTATATCTGAATGAACTATATTTTCTTGATACGGATCAAAAACAAGAAATTTAATTCGAGTATTCTGCGGCACCATTAGATAGGTAATTGAAAAGTACATTCAGTAATTTAAAAAATATGGTGTTCCATTTAAATTAATCAAATTATAGCTACGTAAAGTTATTATTAGAATAGGATAAATTTTTGGCCACCCCATGTAAGATAGAAAGTTTTTTATGATTGGTAGATAAAATACGGTTCACTATTACACTCTACTGTAAATTTTGCTCACGAAATTTAAATATTCTTATGTATTTGAGAAATTAAAATTAGATTCCATTTTAACACAACTCAAATTATTTTTAAAAAAGTATCAAAAAGCTTATTGAAACACAACCCTATTTTGATCTTTGGAACCAAAAAACGCCATAGAAAAAATAACCACTTTGATATTTTTAATACTTTTGGGCCAACCTGAATGGAATGAAATTAATTTTAAAAAGTTAACATAATGAGACGTCACACATCCCAAAAGTAAAACTTAAAAAAAAATCCCTTTCCGTATGGCGTGAATAAACCTATATATAAAATATTTATCTACATTTTATTAAAATTAGGAAGTGATCTTTACTTTTGTGGGCAGACGTCACATTACCACTAACATTAATAAACAAAATGGCAATATAAGAAACTCCTTGTTTCTGAGTGCCGAAAATTTGAACAGTAATGTCTGTGGCGTATGATTAGCAAATTAATACTGATTAGAAATGGCATATACCTCAAACGGTCCTGCGAAGACAAATCAGGAGATGTAGCCAAACATTCTCCGCCCCTGGGGGAATCTTCTGCGCTCACGTTTGGCGAATACAGAACAGTTTCTTGCGAACTGTCCGCACCGCAGAACAAGTCAAGCAAAGTAGGTAGCATGAAAAAGTGCAGCAACTCAGATATGTCGTTCTGAGAATAAAAAAATTGCTCTCCGAATTTGTCAATAATATTGGTCAGAGTTTTCGGTGCTTGAAAGTTAAACGACTGTTCCTCGGCATTTCTCTCCAAATGAGTAAAGTCTATGTGTTCCAATAAAGTATGGTCCTCGCCTATTTCCATATAATCAGTGGGCGAGGGAACTGATTCTTTGTAGTTCGGGTCTAAAGTTTTGGTAAAATCTGCGATATCAGCGGCAGTGATGTTGTTCAGAATTTGTTCCGATGGGATCCAATTATTATTTTGCACGTCCGGTCTGTTAGACGCGATTGTATAGTCTTCACAGGTGAAACCATCAGGGCAATGTTTGCACTTTCGAGTACTCGATAGATGCAGAAATATATAATTTGATATCTGCGCATATAGTTCTTTCCCAGACATTATGGGATGTGGAGGGGAAGCTTCCCGTTCAGTTCTCAAATTTTGGGTTGATATTATTTTGTCGACTGTAATGGATGAGATGATATTAAATGAGGTAAAAGGTGGCTCAAAGTATATCATTTTGGCTTTTGAGAAACCCTCTCTCCAAAAAGATATTACGACATTCGTATCTATTGTTACTGGGAAAACCCAACAACCAATAATTTAATCATAGGTAAGGGACGAAACGAGTCACACACTGGCACTGTTGAATAACTCGTTTTACAGTGAGTTTCCAAAAAACTTGTTACTACATGGAAAACAATTTGTAAAAAATGTGTATGAATATTTAGTGGAGGAATCATTAAACAGGACGGTTTAAAAGAAATCTGCCTACTTACAAAACGTAAATATCCTCGATAAAGCACACTGTTGACAGTAAACTATTAAATAAAAGAAAAAACGTATGAACAATAGCAAACAAGATATGATAAGAAATATATATATTGCCTTTATCAAAACTAGATTGTTCTTACTTTGTATAAACTGAAAAGGAAGCTATAAGAAAATGAAACCAATATAATTATTAGCCGTGCCGCCCTTCATAGAGGTATTTATAAATAATAATAATAATAGAATTACTTACCGGAAATTAAAAAGTATAGATCCCAAATAGATGTATAATTTACCTAGATAAAGGATGGGTTGATTCCAGTAAAAACTGTTAAAAAAAGCACCTCTAAATAAAGAAGAACGAATCACCATATTTCATGCTGGATTAGAAGATGGGTTTTACTCCAAACTGTTTGTTGTTGTCTGTGAAGAATATAAGGTCTCTGGCGTGGACTATTAGCCAGATACAAGTGCAGAACTTTTTGCAAACTGGTTTAAAAATAATTATTTTTTAAAAAATATTTCGAATAACAATGTCAGTGTAATGTATAATATCATAGCCGCCTGCTACAAAAACCAGAAAATTCATCAAGTAAAAAAACTGAATTTTAAGAATTTGTTACAAAATCATATTTATTTTGAATCCAGTTGCAAGAAAGAGGACTTTTTGGAAATTTTGAATTTACATAGTATTATAAAATAATATTTATGTGATAGTTTAGCTAGGGCATGCTGCTTTATGTCTTTCTCCATATCATTGTAAATGTAAACATAACTAAAATCAAATGTGACAACAGCAAATGTTACTCCTAAAAGTTACGTTAATTCTAGTTTAATAAATTTAATGTATAATGTATTTGTTGGAAAAATGCAGCACATACAGCATGTTTTAAAAATTGAAGATTGTTACATTAGCATACAAAATAACATAGAAGCCCATTTCAATAAATCTTAATAACAACTCTGGGAGTGAAACGGAATCGGAATTTGAATAAAAACGTTCACATTTAGGTAAGTATTGATAATTTGTAAATACTTTGTGTTCATCGTATTTCTTATTAGTACTAACCTAAATAAGAATTATTAAATATTTAATTTTTATATTTTTAAAACAATACCGACTGGTCAGGTGTTTTATTACCGTCATCAGGTTATTCCGATAATTGCTGTCGCCAGCCTAAATGATTTACTTTGAAACACAGTATAACTTGGGTTTAAAGCTAGACTCACTCGATAGAGGTATTTTGGAAAATGGTGTTTGAAAGTGTTGTTGACTATTAGGTTGAAGAAACATGCTTCTAATGTCTCCTTGCTTTAAAGCCTTATTTTGACTGAAACCTAAAAAAAAAAACGATTTTAGCCAAATCGTCGACTAAGCGGTTGAGCGAATTTCGCTATATTCCTTAAGGATGACGCCGAATTTTCTCGCATTCATTTATTTATTTAATCTCTCTTTGCAAACACCAAGGGTAGGTTATTGCATGCAAAGGTGACACTGACACACTAAAACTTACATACTCTTACTACCACTACTACAAAAAGAAGTCAAAACATTGTATTTTGGTCAAAAACAAGTCAATGGAATATTTTTGTAAGAAAACTACACGTACATAACATTCCGTTGAGTAGGGGCATCAATAAACAATTATTAGGAACTTCCTCTAAATACATTGTTATTGAGAATTGAGGATAGGAACATTCAAATGAATACATACTCTTTAAGGTTATTGTATTATTTATCATAACATACATACAGAATTTTTGCAACTATTATGAAACATGAATATTGTGGGGACATTTGAATGTAAATTAATTGAAAATCATTACCCAGACTGTCTTTATGACTGCCAAGTGTCCTTGTAACATACATTATATATACACTAGTACTAGTGTGCTTGCCATGGAAAAAAGTGAAAGACAGAAAATCGTTACAAAAAAGGAAATATATATTAACAAGACCAGCAAGCAATTTATTATAATAAAAAATTGGTTTCAGAAAAATGGTTTGGTTATCAAAACTGATAAAACAAAATGCATCCCTTTCAAAATAACAAAAAAATTAGAACAAGTTCAATCAATTCATAATCAATTCTTGGCTTTAAACATCGATGCTAACCTCAGTAATTTTTTGTAGTTCTTATGTTCAAACTTAAGTACAGTATTTCTATATAAGGTGTCTTCTAAATTTAGATTCCACTCAAAGTTGTCGGGTAAAATTTACTAACAATTCCTGCAATTGACATTTTCGAATGCATCAAGTTATTAAAAAAAGATGATTATAAGTTCTCATACCTAAAATTTAATCAGCCTTATCATAAAATAGGAAAAGATTTAGATTACAATTTTATTATTCTATCCATTCGTGGTTTCTTACCGAGACGAATTGTCACGATACCACTGGGGTCAAACCCTTTATGTTCAGAAATACCTACATTTCAAAGCAGAACTTTTAATAAATGTGTTAACTTTAAGTAGGCAAACACTTGTATTGTCATAATTTTTTTTTGTTTTCAAAGATCGACCAGAATTTATTTTCTACCTAATTTCAGTGTTTATCGGCCAAAGCATTATAAATATTGGGATAAAATATATAAGTATAAGTTGTTCTCATTAGTAAATAGTGTAATTAGCATAAAGCAACTAAACCTTCTTCTCTCCCGCCATTTGACGATGCATTTGAACTACCAAATCAATGAATCTATCTATCATCTATCTTGTCTTGTATTAGGTTAGCGTTAAAATGGTTAATATAATAATTATAACTTACCTTGTATCTGAGTCGGTATATTGAATCTTTTTGAATCTGCATACTGCATAAGCTTTACACATTCTCTTGTTAGCTTTGAAGGTCCGATTGTATAGAATGTCTGCAAATTTCGTTGCGATTCAACGTGCCTACTGAATGTATCAAAGCTGTGTCCACTGATATTGAGAGGTTCCTCTAAAATATTATGTGGGTACATTTTTGATAGGATGACTGAAGAATTATACCTTTATCAAACAACGTTACACATTTTGGTATCCTTTCGTCCACCTCTACCACTTGTATGTCATCCAAAAACATGGGCTCTGATGAAGAAGTGCTCGATATGGAATTGAATAGATTCTAAATGAAAATATCCATTTAAATTTCGCATTTTTCAAGCAAATTAGAAATTGTTTTTTTTTTAATTATAGTTAAGTTTTGCACTCAAATAAAATGTTCAATAATTTTTTTAATTTGTTAATAGTTTTTAAATTTGCTTGATAATAAACTTTTGCCTTCACCAATAAAAAGAATGCCTTGAAAATTAAGATTAAATTTCGGAAATTTGTCTCGGAATCCAGTTCATAAAATAACAAAAGAAAAAATAAAAAAAGAAAAATTATTTCAACATACGTTGGAAAAAGTACAATTTGGTATTTCATTTCAAATTGGCCACGCCACGGTTCTCTTTTCTGCATACAAACCTTAATTGAATTGTTTTTCTTGGATAACACCTTTTTTTTCACCGTAATAAATATTCTCTCGCATTTTGGGGTAATCCCGTCTGGAACCATTCTGGGACTGCCAGGGTACATACCCGTGGTCAACTGTTTCGATCCCAATACAAAGGTCGAAATGTTGTCTTTGTGAATTAAGCAGTCTTTTAGTGTTTGTTGTTCTTTTCCCTCGGTTACCAATACCAACACTTTACCCTTTCGTTTCCTGCCCGTTCTCCCCATGCGTTGCACCATTCTTATAGGTGATTTCGTCGAAATATCAAAACAAACGATTAAATCGACTTCGCCTACGTCCAGACCTTCTTCGCCGATACACGTGGAGAGTAAAGTGTTGCATTTGCCTTCTCTGAAAGCCTTAACCACCTATAAATATGTAATAATTATACATGATTGTAACTATCCAGATTGGTAGATAGTTGAGATATTAACTATTCATAATCAAGTAAATAAAAACTTATATAGAAGTAAGAATAGATAAATTGTAATAAATATTATTATTTTAAAAAATCAACTATTTACAACACAACTTCATTTGCAAATTTTAGTCATCATCTTCGTTGGAGGCCAGAGATATATTACTCTACAGTGTTTTTAGCATGTTCTCAGCTTCTTCTATTTCAATCACATGTTAGACGCACTTACTCCATTTTTCACAATTCATTGTGTGCAAGAGGGTTTCAACGTCCCCCGTTTTAAAAGTGGTGGGGTTTAATTCACATTGATACGGCAGAAGACGAATTTATATATTTCGTTTTCAAGCGTCTTCAACAAATTTCATACAAAGAGTTTAATTCAAATTTACTATCTCCACTAACTCCCTTTTTTAGCATATCTTTCTGATTCGCTTCATATTTACAGTAATGCAATTAATGATGTCACTTTTTCTACCATGACCATCCAGTATGATAGTCTTCAGTCCACTTTGATTGAAATGCTAATAACCCACCACCTACAAAGGTGGCTTTTATTCCAGGGGATTGTCCTTCCACGAAACCTTGCCTCACGCTATTTAAATTTTGATCCTGTTATGTTTTACTAAAGACATATCTTTCATTTGATCCAAAATCCCTTTGAAACTGTCCCAAAAAATATTCGCTAAATATTGTCGTCGCCAGCAGATAATTTTATCTTTCTCTCGCTTTTAAGATCTTCTGTTTTGAGTTTTTTCGTAATGATGGCAGTTTCTTTTCTTCCTTCCTTTTCTTCTCTTTGGGTCACGTTTATTATCGGATAACAGTCGATATATTGTGCACTGTCCAACTCCAGTCATATTCACACATTTCAACTATTTTTGCAACTCCAGATTTTGAGTCTTGGTGGCTAAGAGCTTTGAACAATAATTTTTTTGTTTTTGAAAGGGTAGTTTTACTAAGCGACAAATTCTGAAACACTAGCCGTTTTTAAGAACGGAATTTGCCAACAACTATAAAGTAACTATAATTATAATTTTAAACACTAAGGCACAGCTACAGCAACTACTCCGTCTACCTGCAACTCTCGGAAGCCTTGACAATATTCATAGGTACAATACTACACCTATGGCTAAGACTACGAAGTTTTATAGTTCAATCAAGATTTACATCTCTCTCGCATTAAGAAATAGATTATAGGAAACTCACCCCTATCTGAAACTTCTGAGTAATTCCAGACCCTTTGCCAAGAAATATTTTTGGCTGAACGAGTGGTCTGGATTGGAGTAGCAACATATGAGCCTCCATCACCGATTCTCTGTATTCAAAAAACACTATCACTCTGGTGTTTGGATCACCCTCTGAGAAATGAGAGACCAGAACGTCGCGGAGCTTGTAAAACTTGGGGTGGCCAAATTTAACATTGTGTGGAATCTAAACACCACATTTTACATTTTATATCAAACGTGAGTAAGAAACCCTCTACCTCTGGATATGTTCCATCCGGTAATATTTCAATGTTTGGTATAGGACCCAAGTGATCTCTGACATCGTCCACAATTGCTCTTAAGATGTAATTGCTCCTTAACAATGGCTTTTCGAGATGTTCTGAATGACCATAAAATAAATTGTTACAAATCGACAGATTAACAGTATAGTCCTCGACCCGGGCTTTTCTATTTTAGAAATTTTGCAAATCACTACTCTACGCCTATAAGACTGACAGCCTCTTATTTAATTTTATTTTTACTATTGCACCAATGGGATTTTGAATGATTTTAACAAGTGAATCAGCAAGTACTTCGTTGGAAAAATTTGCCAGCCGAATTTCTTAAACAAAAAAACAGCTTTAATTACTAACTGTTATGGCGTAATAATTTTGGCATTTTTTGATACACAAGTGCAAGTGCAAGCAGTCGAAATGTAAAAATAAATATAATAAACATAATGCCAGGTGACCAGAAAACTGCAGAAACTGCAAATCCACAGTATTTACTTGTGAAATATATGTGTATAATGTAATAAACTAATAGTTAAATCAGATTGACATTAATGATTTCAGAAGTGTCAAATTATTACTTCCCATGGTACATAAATTTATGGAATAACAATTAAACTTATAATAATTTTGTGTAGCTTTTGGCCATAATAATGAAAAAACGAAAAATGGGAATTTTGTAATGAAATTTGGTCTATGGGGTTAAAATATTATAAGGAACAACTTTTTCTGATATCTTTAACGCTAAGCAATATATCGAAGATTGACCCTGTTTGTGGAAAAGTTGAAATCTGTATTTATTTGGCTAGCCAAAATAACGGGGTGTCTTATGCAACATGCATACTAGCAATGTAATATGTAGCTTGTAATATGAGAATGTGATAAGATAATTAAAAAGAATATAACTAAACTTAAAGCTTTATTGAGGTCAATGAAGTATAAACCTTTAATTATTATCCTACAGAAGCTTGGTTTAGTGGAGGTACACTCTTTGTAGATATTGATGGTTATGAGTTTTATTACACTGATTGTAATATTCATAAAGATTTCATGTATTATGTATTTAATGGTGTTGTACATGTATTATTTTATATTTATCTATTATATATATATATATATATATATATATATATATATATATATATATATATATATATATATATATATATATATATATATATATTATCTACATGTATTTAGAACAAAAAGAAGACTTTGAAGATGACCTAATGAAGTTATTAGAATAATATAAAAATGTTAATGATCATATTGTCATGTTTTATTCATGTAGATATGAACCATATTTTTAAAAATGTACACATTGATAATGCTTTTATTAAGACTAAATTAAATTTTGAATCATATAGGCAAAATTATCAAATCACTGATCACTATACGCAAAGTTGAACCAATTGTGTTTTAAAGAATATATAAAAAAAAAAGTTACAAATAAACTACAAAAATAAATAAAAAACAAAAACTATACAAACAGCAGAAGTTAAAAAAATGATAAAAATAAAACTATAAAAGAAAACAATTTAGTTATTTTATTTTCTAGATAAAGCCTAGATAAATATAAAAATATTAAAAGAAAAAGCAAAGAAAAGAAGTAGGGATGAAGTTTGGTGAAATATTTATAGCAAATAAAAGTAAAGATGCATGCCTTAAATAGGCTAGGACAATCCATGTTTTTGGAAGACACTAACATTGATGAAATAAGAAAAAAGTACTGACAGGTCTAGGATATCCTTTTAATAAGTGTTTCTACAGTGGAATATTCCCTAGCCACTTTAAGTTAGCAGAAGTAGTACCTATTTTGAAAGCAGGAGATTAAACTAATTGCTATATTCTAGAATTGTAAATTTCATGAAAAATACGGGTTTCGAAAAGGAACAAATAATAGTATAGCAGAAGTCAGTTTTCCTACCTTAGCCAAGGCTTTTGATACAGTAGACTGTTTGAAAAATTGGATGCGATAAGTGTAAGAGGTATTAATCTGAACTTAATAAAGGGCTATTTAGAAAGCTGAAAGCAATTTGGAAAAGGTTAACCACATGAGAGTGAATTCTCGACATAAGAGAAAAGTATATACCTCAGAGCTTTATTAAATACTATATCAACTTGCAACAGAAATATATGGAATGCAATAGCAATAGCCCAAGATAAAACAGTTTACCACTGCCTAAAGTAGAAAAGATAATTGGTTGAAGGTCACAAAAATATGCAGCGACATATGCACAAAATAAGTGGAAACAAATAAATAAGGAAAATTGCAAAAGTGCTCAAAACAGTAGTGAGGGATTTTCATCTAAAAAATGGTCTATATAAATAGCTTGTATTTATTCATTGCATTTGTGTGTGGACCAAAAAAAAAGGATAACCATAGAAAAAATAAATGAATAAATGGACTGTAGGTTGAGAAGTTTTTAACTCTTATTTGTTCAAGTTAGCTCATAAATATTTTTCCTTCCATGGATTTGTAGCCTATTTGCAACTCCATATTTTTTATATCCGGTGAATCAAGTGGAGAGGAGGACTAGTTGAAAACTTCAAGTGATAAGTGGGAATAGGTAGCCTCATATTTCCGTTCAATTTCGTCCAATCCGTCCGTCCATTGAACACTCTGAATTACCTTGGAAAAATGATAAAAAGTTTCTCAAACCGTGCCTGATGAGCAACTCATAAGCATGGTACAAGGTGACGCAAATGTTTAAGCTTTTCATGACTTCTGAATAATGGGAGGGCCTGAAATTATTTAATGTAGTTTGGAACTTCAAAGGAATTGGTCCAATTTACCGGGTACCTCTAGTTTTCTTCTTAAATTCTTTCAGCAACATAAATATTTTACCTTTAGTGAGGGAGCCGCAATTGCCCTGAACGATTTTGTAGTTTCTCAACGATTTGGTGTAATGTTCTAAAATCTACAAACCACATTATAAACCAAGTTTCTCTTTTAGCTAAAAAAACTAAAACAATGGTTAAAATTTTATAATAATTATAATAATATAATTATAATTATTAATTAAATAATACTAATAAATTTTACATAGAAGATGTGTAGAATTTTCAGTAGAATTAAAAAATGCAATAATATATAGCCAATTCCAATGTTTATAGAACTGATGTACCTGCTCAATTACCTAACGCTTTTTTATTTAATTAAAAAAGAACTCTATGTTTAATGGCGAATAATATCTTCTCTGGCGCATCTTTAGAGGGGTGAATGTTAATTATTAATTGCAATATACAGGTGCAGTTTTAGTTTTAATTGTTATTATAATTTCTTTATTTACTTTTTAAGATATTTTTTGTTTTGCAAACCCTTTTTAATGAATATTAAACTAATCCTTACTTTCAAATATTCATCCCTAACCTGCAGTAGTTTATCACTCAAAGGTACAACCACAGTTTCCAGGGACCTTTGAAAAACATACTGCTGTACGTCCAAACTTTCCTCTGTTCTGAATTCGATGTGAGAAATTAGCAAATTCTGAATAACCTAAAATTCAATGAAAACAATTAAATTATCATGCCACAAACTAACTTAGATAATTTAGGAAAATAAACTGAGAACATGACTTTTGCATATCAGTTAACAATTAAGTGGAGATAAAACACAAAACAATATTACCAAACTTTTTTCAAATTTTGAAAACCACATGGATATTGTAGACTTCCAAGTAGATCAAAAATAGCAAACTTCAGGGTATCCGGCTATCCCAAAAACATCGGTACAGATTTCAACTGAGATCACTTAATTGAAAGAACATCACTTTTTCTATCACATTGCCTTGACGATTTATTAATCCCGTATTATTACAATATTTAGTATAGACAATGGAGCAATACAGGGTGTGGTCCATATTATAATGAAGACACTTTAACATTGTATTCAGCAGATAAAAATAAATAAAGTTCATTTTGGAGATTGTGAATATTGCAAAAAAAAAACGTTATTTTCGTTAAAAAAATTCCAAATTTGGTTTTTGGTATTATTCCCACTTAAAAACAAATTTACCGCATAACTAAACATTTTGTTTAACCAGTGGAGTTCATGAGACCATTTTAATTAATTTGAATGGTGAAAAAAGTGGGAGGCCACAGTTTATAGCAATTTTGTTAATAAATTTAGACACCCTGATCAAATCTTTTTTGTTTTTTCACTAAAACTAACTGTTTTTAAATTATTTAAATCAATTAACACAATTAACAGTCTCAGGAACGCCACTGATTAGAGAGAAACAACAAGTTTATGTATGCTTTAAGTAGAAAAAAAAGATTATTTTGCAATATTTCAATACCCTGTATCTCCAAAGTGAAGGATTTATAACATAAGTTTATATTTTTTAAGTTTTCTACTTATTTTTATATGGTGAATACTCTGTTAAAGTTTCTCAATTATAATGTGTGTATAAAGAGAAATATAACATATTAAGTTTTAAATGTGAATGATATTTGTGTTTTTTAAATGTAGTTTATTCCTCAGATATAATGTTCTTAATGTTAATCTTATACAATTTGCAATTTTTTTCCAGTTTTGTAATTTTTAAATCCAATTTCTAGGATGAAAAACGAAAATTTACACACTTGATTAAACTTACTTCCAACACATCATTGACAGAACCGCCTGGGGTAGCACTAAGCGCCAAAACCCGAAAATGTTTGTTACCACCATCAATCAGTCGACGAATTACTTCGCAATAAGCATGATTGCCTCGGGCTTTATGGGCTTCATCAAACACCAGACACTTAATTCGTGGGCCCAGTTCACTTATTCTGTGCAAATCATTTTGTAGCACTTGAGGTGTAATGTAAAACACCCGTTTTTCAGCCCAGACGTCTGTTCTAGCCGTAGATGTTTTAGCACCTGCAAATGTTTATTCTAAACTTGTAAAGTTGTGCAAAGTAAATCACCAACCAGTTAATTCTGCAGTAACCTCCGATGGTATGGCCATTACATCATAACAAGCATCAACTTGCTGCTTAACCAGGGGTTTTGTAGGAGCCATGAAAATTATTTTTCCCTGAGGATACCACCGATAAAAATTGTACATAATCACGGCAGCGACAAAAGTTTTACCCAATCCTGTGGGAAGGCTCACCTACAATGGTAAGTAATAAAACACACCAAATATGCTCATAAAATTTTACCAATGTGTTTTTAAGTAATGCCTTTTGGATAATATTGAATTGGTATTCTCTGGTTGGGTAATTCGTTGGATAAATCCATGTCTCGCCGGCTAGTAAATCGAAACCGTCGCAGCTCAGTTTGACCGATCTGCAAAAAACTGATTTATCAGACTATAAAGATAAGTCCAGTATGCGCACTGTGTACAAATTTTTTTCCGATCCATAAACTATCTAGTAATATCTAGGCAGTTGCAAAATTTAAGCATAAAAAATTAAATATTTAATCAACAAAGAACTCAAAATTTTCAAAATAACAAACTCAAATTTGAGGTTGTAACTTACGCAATTCTTCTTTAGCAGTTTCTGGAGAACTGTCCTTTAAATGTACAGGGCAGTAATAGCCCCATAATGTCTATTAGCAAAATGTTGGAATGAAGGTTCACCCAAAGATTATAAGATAGATCTATTATTTGTGTCCAAGTACTAAAGTACTGTCATGACGGTTTAAAGTAATGCGTCACACTGAAAATATTACAGTAGCTTGTAACGGATAGCAGCCCTTTATTTATATTTTAATAAAAAAAAATAAAACAATTTCGGCATAAATTATTATTTTTTAACATTTTACCTTTCAAACTTTTTCCGCGTTTCCCGTTTTCATGAACCTCGTGTACGCTTTTTAACGCTGCCAGTAATGGCAGCCTTCCCTTGTATCTTATATTCTTTGGGTTCACCCAAAATATAATTTCTTTGTTTTTTCGCCACTTGCAATTCAAATTGGATAATTTATTAAGTATTATTAATATATAATTAAAATATATTAAATATTATTATTGATAATACATTATATAATAAATAATATTATATGATACTAATATAATTAATATACTAATAATATTAATTGATAAATGGTGTGAGTTTTTATTTTTTGTCGATTGGTTTGTCGAGTTAGATTAGGTGTGCGCAAAAAATTAATATTTCTTGGATCGATTTGATAAGCTTTAATGGTGACATCGCTATACTGCAGCCTTAATGCCTGAGTCACTAATCTTAAATTCTAGGGACTAGAAATGTTGTGGGCAAATAATGGTCGTGTTTCTTTGGCATGTTAAAATGAAAATTCTTTAAAAAAAAATATTAAAAAAACATGACTGAGAAATGGGGAAAAAGACAAGATTATAACATACGAATTTGTTTTTCTTTTGTTTCTTTTGCTTATTCAAGATATTATTGGATTGATAATATTTAGTGGCATAACTTTTGTAATTCTATTAAATAGTTGACTACCCAAGTAGGAGAGCCTCATCAAAATTATGTCATTTTCGAGGCATAAGTGGTCCCTACTCGTCAGTGGTCCGAAAACACATCAAATTGACATCCCAAAAATGACCTCCTAATTTCGCCATAAAGTGATTAATTCCATATTAATTCCATATATGGACTTTATTTTTAATAACTAATTTAAACTATTATCAAATTCTTCTATTGAAAACCCATGATGTAGGAGAATATATGTAGAGGGTGTTAAAATTAAAAATCGTAATTTTTTTCAGCAGTGAAGACGAAAAGCAGAGTTTAAGTTGATGAAAAAAAGATTTCATTTAATTCACAAAAATTGACTACACTAATTGACTTAAAAAAGTCATTTAAACTATATCATTCGTTTGAGACATGAGTAGGTTAAATGCACATCCTGCTAACGTCATACAGAAAGTCGTTTTCGTCCTTTGGTGACTAGTTAATCACGACCCTCTGTTCCCTGAGTATCAAAATCATAGAATAATATATTATGAGGGATGGTTCAAAATTGCCCACGTTCATTGGCAGAAATGCTGTTTTATTTCTATTCCCCGATTTTAAGGGTTTTTGGTTTCCATATATATTATTAGAAAATATAAATTTTAAAATCTTCCTGACGAGTAAACGTTTCCCTTTTTTCAAGAATTGCATTACAAAACATTATAGTTTGTGCTTTTCCGGTACTTTCAGTTTGTTGTATACAAGGATTCGAATTTATTTTTGTTTAAAATTTTCCAAACAAGTTTTAAGGATTTTTAAAGCAAATAAGTTGAATTTAATAATACGACACTTAACAATGTTAAAGTTGGTAGTTATTAGGCTGTTTAAATATATAGTAATAATGGTATTGTTAATAAATTTACATATAAAAAAATGATTATTTTTTCAACCAATGAGTCGAATAAAAATCGTGGCCCATAGAAGTAAAAAACAGAATAAGAATCGTTTGCTAATACTTGTTTTTTATTCAGTAAAAAGTGAGTTAAATATTCCTGTCAACAATTGCTTTTAAAACAGCGAATCCTAAATACAGTCACATATGTGGAATAATTCACTTTATCCAAAGTATTTGTGCACGCCTTGTATCCGGCCCGCCTGGTATGTCGATCCACAATATCACCCGCAAAGAAAAATACAATAGATTTACGGAAAGTGAGGCAACTTTATTTGAATTATTCTGCAAATTGTGCCTTGAAAAACAGAAGCTGAAAAAAGAACTTCATTTTATTTAACCTGTGGGGGTGAGAGAATCGGTTTTATTTTTCGAAGGTTCACTTATATATTGATTTGTCCAGCAGTGTTATAAGCTTCTCACATTCTTTCATTTCCGTCAACAGAATGAGATATAGGTATGCAGGTAAGTGTAAGTTAAAATGTGTCACCCGTACATTAAAAAAAACTGGTGTCTCTATATCATTGAAAATAATGGAGAGATATAACATCCGTCGTCAATTTTAACGGGATAGAAGCGCCTTTTGTGTAGCTTTAATAGCTTCTTTTTGGTTCCTGTGTCAGACCGGCGCTTCCAAAACTAAATCCTTTTTAGTCCTTGCTAGCTGGTTGATTGTACGTCAATCTGCCTTTCTTTCTGTTCGTTCGGGGTACAATAAAAGACCTCAACAAAAGGCACTTTCGCAATTACATCAATAAAGAATGTCATTGGAAATGACCGACACTGAAATACAGAATGTTATAAATCCTTAAAACTCCGTTTTATATTCATTCTGGTTTCAAATTTTTACCCGATAGGCACTCGTGATTTTTGTTTTCAACTTTCAGTTACCCAAGATTCTTAAATTAAGTAGGTAATAATGGGAATTAACAATACTTTATGCAACAAGTCTTTTAAACGACATTTTAGTGACAAGTTAGGCTCGAGTGGAGCAAGTGTTTAAACGAGTGGCTTAAGAAGTTGCATCTGGCATATTCTCCTTCTACATCCATCAGTTCTTGGGTACATTGGTGCAAACGAAAAATGTTGGATTTTCGCATCCAAGTTTACAACTACTCTTTTCTACTCCCTAGTGTAAAATACCTAATTACCCACCGATCTAGCGTGCGGGAAGCGTCACTTTACCACGTCAGTTTCGTTTCCCATGAATCCGATTCACTTCGGACATTTCCGGGATTTTACTGCAAGGATTTGGGAGCAATCGGATGTTTTCGGAGATATTTCCCACGCTTTGAATTATGACGTTTGTCAATTCTGACGGTCATGTCAGTGAATGTATTGGTGTAGTTTTTGCGAAAATGTAATCAAAAACTAACGATCCTAGAGAACGTATAGTATGCAACACGTTCGGTAAACTTTTTAACTCACTCGTTTATTAAAAACTCGCTCCGCTCGTGTCAAATAAACTCGTGAGTCAAATGCCGTTTACCGCACTTGTTGCATAATATACTATTACTGAACTGAATCTGCAAGATTTTCTGACGTTAAAGTTTCCCAAGAACACTTTTGTATGTAAAGCCATAGTGAATTAATGTGGAACCCATAATTCATTCAAAATAGCACTGGAACCCTAAATCAAGAACAATGTGTTGGATGCCAGTATATGGCCACAGAGCATCTTGATATCGGAGCATTTTTTTCGAGGCCGTTAGTCGTACCATAGGAAAAGGGGTAAGAACAAACCAAAAGAAAGAAATTACAGCGAGATCTACAGAAGGTTCTGAAGTGAGCGAATGTTATAAAAATGTTCGATCTCTCAATTGGTGAGATTGAAATTTTCACAAGGGAAAACGATTTTCATGCTGTGTGTCTTACTGAAAGCTGGATCACTTATGACGAGGTTAATCTATACAATCTAAATAATTATAATTTTGTCAGTACTTATTGTAAACCAGCTAAAATTAAGGGTGGCGGAGTCATAATATATATAAAAAAATCTGTTGGATCTGTAATTTTTTTTCGACGATTTTTGCGAAGAACAAATTTTTGTATGCGCTGCTGTCAAACTGATCGAAGTAGATATTTTAATTACCATCTACAGATCGCCAATAATTCATAATGTTAATTTATTTTTTGAGAAAAAAACTATTTTATTTCAATGGATTGTCAACACTAAATCCAAATATGTCGTAAATGGTTAGTTCAATATACATATGCTTGATGGTCTTAATATTAAGACTCTTGAATTTAGATATAATAGCAGACACGGATCGTAACTATCAGGAATTTCTTTCAAGGTCGAGAGTCTGAGTTGTACAGGGTGATCCGAAACTTGCAAAACTCAAGTAGCAAAGATATATATGGGTTAAATGTTAAGGTTATTAAATACGTGACTGAGTCTGTATTACTTGTATTGACTCTCATTTGTAATAGATGTTTTGAACACAATGTATTTCCGGACGTGCTAAAGTTTGAAAATATAGTTCCCATACCGAAAAATGATAATGCAGACCATTTTCGTCCTATTGCTGTCCTGCCCGTATTTTTCAAAATCTTTGGGCCTTTGGATTTTATCAAACACTCGCTCCGCTCGTGTCAAATAAACTCGTAAGTCAAATGCAATTTATCGCACTTGTAAAAGCGTATATTTCATCTTCGACGAGTTTAACGACACGAATTGCTTTTGTCTCCCAACTATATCGACAAGTGTTACCAGCGGTGGCTTTCACAACCTCATGAGTTTTATTTAATTTCCTTTCGACTTATAAACCATTAGTTCTGCTGCAGCGTTACTGGAGATGAAATTCTTTAATTTAGAAACACATCTGCATATGCAAGGCTTAAACTGCTCTATGGTAGTCGTCACTATCTCTCAAGAAAAATAAAAATTACATTATGCGAGTCTCTTGTGCTTTCTGTGTTCAATCACGGCGATATTTTATACGGAAACTGTTTAACAGCTTTGCAAAAACAAAGAATACAGAAAGTGCAGAATTCATATTTACGACTAATATACGGTATTTTTTTTCAAAGAAACTTCCACAGGCTACTGTAATGCTTTTTATAAAACTTCTGGATTCCTCCTGCGTCGGTTTTTGCTTAGTTGAAATTGCTGACGTTTCGTCAAACGTCCTGTTGGCTTATT